TCCCCCAGTAGTCTTGGAACAAGACTAAGGTGACCAGACCTCCCACTTTTGGCAGGACAGTCCCGGTTTTTAACAATTTGTCCTGCATCCTCCAGTGTTTTAAAAAAGTCCTGATTTTTAGAAAAAAATGTTAAAAATCGAGACTGTCCTGCCAAAAGCGGGACTTCTGGTCCCCTTCCTTCCCTAGTGCGTGCCTAAAACTATTGATAGTCTGGCCAGCATGGCTCCTTGGTTGAGCTTTGACCTATGAACCAGGAGGTCACGGTTTGATTCCCAGTCAGGGTACATGACTTGGTGGTGGGCTTGATCTCTGGTGGTGGGCATGAAGAGGCAGTTGGTCAATGATTCTCTCTCATCATTGATGTTTCTCTCACCCTCTCCCTTCCTCTCTGAAAATAATAAAAATACTTTTAAAAAACTATGGATAGTGTTTTCTTTTCTATACATATATATCTACAGTAAATTTTATAAATTGGGCACAGTAAGAGATTAGCAATGATAACTATAATAATATAGAACAATTATAATAATACTAGTGGCCTGGTGCAAGGATTAGTGCATATTAAAAGGAAATTAATTGGGGGGGGGGAGAGGAACAACTGTAATAATCTGAACAATAAGATTTATTTTTTTTTAAAAAGGAAATTAATTAGAAGAAAGATTCATGTGGTAATTATGTTATTGTAAAAAAATTACATGTCAAAATAGTATATATAACATAGTATTATAAAATTAAAACACACATGTGAATTGCTCCAGCAAGAGTTTTATATGTATCGTGCATGCGTGAGTCAACTTTATTTTTAAATTGCCAGTGTGTGTCATATGTACCAGCCGGTCTGATGGACGAACATTCAGTCACTAGCCTTTTATATATATAGATACTGTAATAAATTTATGTGAATGGCTTTGGGGCCATTCTTATAGATTATTTGAAGACAAGCACTGTGATACTGAGACAATAGATCTGATAAGACACTGAAAAATGGAGCAGTGTGGCTGGAGACTTCATTGAACCACTCCAAATGGTGCACAATTTCAAACTGATGATTTATTTCTGGAATTTTCCATTTAATATTTTTAGACCACAGTTGGCCATGGGTAACTGAAACCACAGAAAGTGAAAACTAGGATAAGGGGGACTACTGTACAGACCATTACATGGTTTAACCTCCCAGCAATCTGACTTCAGTACATGGAGAATGATTTTTTGTAAGGTATTATAAGATACTACATAACGAAAAGAATAAATTATGTAGCTGCTTAACCTTGTAGGTCCCATCTTGGTCACAGTCTCATTACTCACTTTTAATGGAGCAATATACAGTATTAATACTCATTTTTCAAGCCTTGTAGTCTTTCTGCAAAATGTGTTCACATAAAAGGCTGAGGAAGAATTGCTTTCCCTACTTAAATTGATGATGAATAAGCAGGTCATATGCTTTCTCTGGTGTGTTTGGGGGTGAGGGAGAGCGAGGACAGTGAGAATCGCTGGGGTGTTAGGGTGAATGCCGGAGCCATCCCCCTTTCCCACGTGTCCCAGGAACCGTAATTCCAACTCCATTAGTGCAGAATGAGAGGCCATTTGGGTAAACATAGTCCCATAAATATATCATTAGGCAGTTTTGTAAAATTCACATTATTTACTCAAGCAAATATGTAATTAGAACATTTTTTAAAACACAGATTATCTACCAAAGAGACTCAAACTGTTCCTTTGGAGCATTTAAGCCTATTGGGTAAAACTGTAATTAGGCCATTAATTAAATCCAAATCATATTATTTATTAAAAGGTGCTTTGCTGATCTGATAAGCATTTTCTTTGCTCTTTTAAGGCATTTTAATAATAGATTATTGTAAACCCTTTGGCTATCCCTCGCCCGTCATTCATCCCTTTCTGACTTGCTTCTCATCTCACTTTATGATGATGGTTATGGATTTAGACTTCCCTGTGGACATCATGTGCAAAAACGCCTGATCAGGCATTGCCATCCCCCCCCCCCCCCCCCCCCCCCCCCCCCACGCAGCCCTTCAAAGCTGGGAGGAGGAAAAGCAAGCTCTCTATAGATTTAATCTATATCACACTCTTTGGATTCATTTTTTAGGGGAAGTAATTAGTAGTAAATTGTCCCCTTAATTTTTTTGGTCATTGTTACATATGGACTTGATCAAAGTTCTTTTCAAATTTGAAAACACTGAGGTGGTGTGAGCTTTCTGGAAATGGATTTATGCTGAACCAAGTCAGAGTCCCTCTTGGGGTCATTTTGTGAACAAAGCATGTATATTTGAATCTGTCTAATTCCATGCCGTCTTCTCTTTGTGATCTTGAGGAGGGATGACTCAGAGAGGAATCAAAACTTTAACCACCGTCTCTGGTCTCTGGTTTGTGGAGAGCTGTCGAGCTGTCTTCCAAGGAAAGCACGTTCCTAAGGATCCCCGAAGATGATGTGAAAAGAGGAGCCTGTCTGGGGCTTGCCTTGCTCTAGTCCAATAATTGCATTATAGGTCATGATTTGTTTTGCCTTTTTTTTTTCTTTCTAAAAAAAAATGCAAACTAACCAATTGGTTTTTCAAAAGATTATAATCCTTTTCGGCCTCAGAGCCTTTGCTGTGTCTCCTCTCTTTGTTCGGAACCCTGCCTGTCTCCTGAGTCTCTTTTGCCCAGGCAACTCAGAAACTCGGTGCAGCTTGGCGTTAAGAAGAACACAGAAGTGGGAGCCAGACTGTCTGGATTTCAATCCAGCCCCCCTTCTAATTAGCTGAGCAAACTTGGCAAGTCACATACCTGCCTGGTTCCTTAGTTTCCTTATTTACCTCCCTCCCGGATGAAGGTCATCGGGAATTACGTTGCATGGAGTGCTTACGTAGCAGTCGTTCTTATTTAGGCCTTTGGATTCTGGGAAGCCTTTCTTAACCCTCCGTATCTTGATTTTCCTGGAACCTCTTCTGCTTTAATCCCCACTGCACTGTGCATTGTGCTTGCTTATTGATTACCTTTCTCTAACGCTGGACTAAAAATTCCGTGAGCAAAGAGATGAAGTCTGTTTCCTCTACTGTTCCCCTTGCCGAGCCTCGCACAATGCTGGTAAAACAGGGCCTGGCTCAGGGAGCACCCACGTTGTTTGCAGCAGTGTGTTAGGTGCTGAAATAGAATAGTGAACAAAAAGAATGCGGCTTACTTTCACGTACTGTACAGTCTAGGTAGGAACAATAGACATGGAGCCAGTAAGTATATAGAAATTATAAAACTGCAGGTAAGACAAATGCTATCAAGCATATATGTATGTGGTTTCCAGAGACTACAGCAGGGGCATTTAGTCTCATCTGGGAGTTATGGAAGACATCTCCAGAGCAGTGGTGCTTGGATAAAACCTGAAGGCTGAGTGGTCACTAAATAGAAGAGGAAGAGAGAGATTCACATTCCAGGTCCAGCAAACCGCCTGTGCCAGAGTCCTAGGTATGAGCCCAACAGGTGTGATGAATTGCAAAAGGCCCACAGGTTCCAAGTGGAGACATTGAGGAAAAGAGGAATGCTAGATGAACTTAGAGAGATAGACAAGAACCACTGATGGAAAGTATTTGAAGGCTATCATGAAAAGTGTTTTGTCTATCATAAGTTAAATGAGAAGCCACTGATATATTTTAAGGAAAAAGAAAACATGATTATATTGGCATGTTTTAAATGTTACTCACTTGGATGTGTATCTGTAAGGTGAGGGATAGATTGAGTGAGCACGATGTAGAGTAGATGTACATTCAATAAAATTATGTCTTGTACAATCTCTAAGAAATGGATTATGATAACATGAATTAAGCATGTAGTTGTTAAGATAGAAAAAATAGATGGTTATGAGGGAAATTTAGCTCCAAAGGAAATAGGATATGATGATTAGATATGGGGTGGTAAGAGAGATGGAGTCACAAAATGAAGCCCTGATTTTGGTAAGCAAATGAGTGATTATTTTCATTACTATTTTCTAGCAAACTATAGGAAGAAGACAAAGTATGGTAGGGGAATAATGAGATTTATTGTGGACATGTTGAACTTGAGATGTTATTGAGATATCATAATACGATTTTAAATAGGAAGTTGAAAAATGATTCTGGAGCTTAGAGATGAAGTAATATATATGTGACCATATGTACAATCTATTAATATGTATATGAATAGATAATTATGATATAAACAATCTATTCATATAAATATATAAATCTGGGTATCATCTGCAAATGGGTGGATATTAAAACTATGGATGTGGATGCTATAACTTAGATAGAGATGTTCAAGTAGAGGAAAGGGCCTAGGATTAAGTCCTGAGGACTCCACATATTGTTGGCTGGCAAATGGTAAACTGATAAAGAAGCAACCAAAAACAAACAGAAAACAAGACAATTATATTGCAGAAGCCATGTGAAGAGCATGCTTCCAAATAGGAGGAAGGTCTAGCATGTCTACAGCTGCTAACTGTGCCTTTGGATCTTGTGACACGGAAATCATTGCTGACTTTTGTAAGAATGATACAATGAATGAATTCGTTGATGGAATAAATTAAGTAGAAGCTGGATAAACAGAAAAAGAAAGATTCCTTTAAAGACTACTTTCTCAGAGCCTGTAATAAGATATGTGCCATGGCTCTCAGTGTTTTCCGACCTCATAGTCCTTGGAATTCTTTTCCTGGTGCATTTTACAGGACAAGATTATTTTTAATAATCATTTTACAATCATTTTACAATCCCAGTTAATAAAGTTTTGAGCCAGCAGTATTCCTTAGGCCAAAAAAAGTCTTGATTCTGTCAAGTTTCTCATTTCATACAATGCTTTGCATCTACTTTTCCTTGTCTAATGCTACACAAGTGTATTAGAATGTTGTGTTGGTAAAGAGAGAAGTCTCTGAAGCCAGAATTCTAAGATTTAAATCCTCTTGTATATTGGATGACCTAGAGTAATGTTAACTTCATGTCAATTTGACTGAGTTAAGGGATGCCCACATAGCTGATAGAACTGTTTGTTTCTAGTAGAGATTAATATTTGAATCAGGAGAATAAATAAAGGAGTCCTATCCTCAACAATGTGGGCAGGCATGATTCAATCTGTTGAGAGACAAATAGAGAAAAAAAATCAAAGAAATGGAGAATATTGTCTCTCTCTTTGAGCTTGGATCCCCTATCTTCTCCTGTCTTTGGACATTGGAACTTTTCAGTTTGAAGATGATACATGGCAGGACACCTTGCCTCCATATGGAGTGAGCCAATTCCTATAATACATCTCATCTTCTGTATCTCTCTATATATCTTGTAGTTCTTGTTCTCTGGAGAATGCTGACTAATACAAATGAGTTATTTAAGGTCTCTCAGTGTCTGGGTTTCCTCACCTGTAAATTTCAAATGGTGTTATTTGTGTAATACTTAAGTGCATTAATGCATGCCAAGTACTTAGTAGACTAACATTTAGTCAGTAATTTAAAACTGTGTTGATAATTATGATATAAACATCAGAAGGGACATTAGCTCTTTTTAAGAGTCTCATGCTCTACCGACTGAGCTAGCCGGGCACTCCCTAGCTCTTTTTATTGTGGCAAGAAATGAAATAAGCAAATTTATATACTAAGGAGAAGATGTTTTCTTTTGTGGAAGGTCTACTTGGTTTCAAAGGTGGAGAAAGCACAAGCTGGGAATATACCCCATTCTCTGCACATTTCAATTTCTGATTTTTTAAACATGTCTATGAGTCTTTCAGAGAGTCTAGAACCAGCCTGATGCTGTGCATGTGTGCCTGTATGTGTGCGTGCATATGTGTGGGGGTGTTGGGCATCTCTTCAGATGCATATCAGGTTAGGTACTTTAAATTTCACAAAAGAATCTGGCCTTATGTTTCATTCATTTGCTGAATGAAGCCTGCAGCTTTATCATTCATATAAAATCCTTGCTTTTGCCAGAGAATAATAATTGTCTGTTGCTCAACTTTTAAAATCTTTGTTAAAAAGAAAATGACTGATATTCTTGGAGAATAGCATAAAAGACAATCATTTGACATTTCTCCCATATTCTCTAAAATTTATCCCTAGACCATCAAGCTATGAGAGTGGTAAGTTTATAAACCATTATTGTGACCTCCCAGAATTATTTCTCAGCTGGGCCCTGGGTGTGCCTCGAGGCATGCTATAAAATGGAACTGTGAAAATCACTCTTAGGAATTGCCAGAGGAGATTTTCTTTCTTAGGCCTCAGTGCCTTTTCACAAGCCATTGATAATGCTATTAAAGATAAATACTATGATTTTTGGAGCTAATTATATTTCTTTTTCTGTTCTGGCTGGTTGCCCATATGTCTCTGACTAAATTTGCCAACTTATATTATGTGTTGATATCTTCTCTTTACTCCCTTTTCTGCACACTGCACTGCTCCCATATGGATCACACAAATAAAAGGTGTCCTGTTATTTGTACTACATGTGGCTACTTATTATCTGTCACAAATGTGTGTTTTTGAATATATTTCATTGTTTGTATTTTTTTTTACAGAGAGGAGGAGAGAGGGATAGAGAGTTAGAAACATCAATGAGAGAGAATCATTGAACAGCTGCCTCTTGCACACCCCCTACTGAGGGACCTTTCAGTCCACAAGCCAACACTCTATCCACTGAGCCAAACCGGTTTCGGCTGTCACAAATGGTTGGTTTTTTTTAAACCCTAAGTGTTCAAAATCTCTGAATTGTTTACTATCAAGGGGATCCTTTGCCCTCTGGCTTCTATTAAGATTTGGTCCGTGAGAGGTCTGAGAAAGATCTGCAGGCAAGAAGAGAATGAGACTAAGAACTTATTCTCTGAGCTCTCTGCAGGTTAGAACACTGCAGGTTAGCTGGTGCCCTTTGTAAGTCTGCACCTCCTATCCCGTGGACCTTCTCCACAGAGTTCTTTCTTTGGGTACCACTGACCTCTCACCTTGCCCTGCCCTTCAGATATAGTGTACTAAAAACTCCTGAAGGCACTCCACAGCCCACTTTCTTTCATTTTTTAAACTTGTCTCAAGCCTTTTGCAAGCAGTCCCCTTGTTAAACTCTCTTTAATAGATTCCATTTGAGTGTGCCGTCAGATCCTGCTGAGACCCTGACTGATATATTCTAGCAACTATGCTGAGGATCAACTAATTGCCTCCCATTTCTGCTTTTCTCTGTTTTATTTATGGATTATCTTTTAGCCATTTGAATTATAAATACCTCTGTTCTACAAAGCACCTCAAAATATTCTTCTGTAAAAAGGCAATGTAAATAAACAAATGTGTATGCAAATAAGTATGCCAAGTGTTCTGTTATATACTGGGAGTGAAAAGGCAATTAAGTCTTAGTCCTTGGGGAGATCACCGTCTGTGAGGAAGATATTCAAGGAAGCAAATAATCACAATGCATTGTGGTGATTTATAATGAAGGTATAGAATATGTCCTATGGGGTGGATATGAGGGATGAAGTTCCTTATGAAGCATGGGGCTGGGGTGGGTGGGGGGAAAACTGGGTGAGGGGCGGGGGGCAGGGCAATGTCAGAGAGACCAGCATGGTAGTGGGAGGAAAGAGAAGATAACTGAGGTGGTCACAAAAGGTGGACCTATTAAAGTCACATGAACAGGATTTTTTTAAGTTTAATTCAAATGTGGCACTTGATGTAGAGGGCCAATCATGGATTTCCCTGAAACAACCATGATCTTGCTTGGCATATTGGGAGCTCCCATTCATCTCCTGCAGGGTTGATTATTTGTTACTTAAGAAGTCTTTACATTTTTAAGCCTTGATTTAGGAAAAAGAAAAAAAAAAAAAGAAAAAAAAAACTTGGAAAATGCAAAATACTTTGTTATTCTCCAAAGATTTAAGTTTAATTCAAATGTGACTAATGAGCCTTGCAATAAATATATGCCCAATTATTTCCCCTTACATGTACACACTACAAGGCTTACATGAATCAAGTACCCACTTCATCAAACATGTTTTTAAATTCAAGGTAGATTATACTGAGAATATGAGCAGCAGGAAAGTAATGTCCAAATAGTAAAATACACACACGTTGGTTTCAATAATATGTAGATGAAACTTGTAGCAGTGCTTTGAAAGGAAATTGTGACTTACTGTATGGTCTTAGAATAAGCCTGCTAACGGTCCACCAAGAGCCTACAGGCAAACACAAGGCGCCCCGTTATTTGTAATAGATCTGGCTACTTCTTCTCTGTCACATGTGCTTCTAAAAAAGACTAAGCGATCAAAATCTCTGAATTGTTTAGTTTGGGATTAATCAGAAGATGAAACGTGGACTCTCAGTCTTTTATCAGCCTTCAAAATGAGTCCTGACCCAGTCTGCTAACTTAAAAATAAAACCAATGCAAACCTTCCCTGCTGTGTGAAAGGTTTGGCTAGCAGGTCTCCTAGACTTTTTTGTCTGTTGAGTTTTTAATGAGGACCAAAGTCAGGGTTCTGGAACATTGTGGATTTTGATTACAGTGGGGTTCCATCCTTGTTGGAACGGGGGAAATGTCAGAAACCTCGTGAGCTCACCAGCCAGCATCACGATGAAAGGCTGTGGAGAAGCTTCTCACAATGCTGCTCCACTCTGGGTTTCTACCCAAACTCCTGCCCTGCGCTCACAGAGGTTCCACAAGCACAAAGCCCCGTGAACCGTTGACTTTTGTAAAATATCAATTTCTCCTTTAGCAAACAATGATAAGGCGTAATTGTTAAGAGAAAATCAGCCGACCATCATAGATTTTCTGATTGCCCATTTTATTTTGCGTCTCTATAAATATCAAAAAGATGATTGAGTTTAGTACAACACTGTGTTTTTGTTGAAATCCTGACATTTCCAAAGTGAGCAGAATCTTCCATGGTCTCCATCTCCAGGGACAGCTCCTTCGGGGGTGTCTGAAGCTAGAGAGGGCTCAGTTTCTGAGCTTCTCTCCAGGGACTTCCTCAGAGCCTGCCCGTTAGTGATTTGATGGATGGTGGTGGTGGTGATGGTGTGTGTGTGTGTGTGTGTGTGTGTATTTTAATGTACTAAAATCCATACTTCATGTAAATGCCATTATTTTTTTACATAACGGCCTTTTCTGTTCCAGTGTCTCCTCCAGGAAACTGTAATTCATGTTGTTGTCATGTATCAGACTCATGTCTATTGTGACATTGTTATTATTATTATTATTATTATTATTATTATTTTATTTTATTATTATTTTGCTTTTCTGTTTCCGATGACTTTGACAGTTTTAAGGAGTACTAGTTAAGTATTTTGTCGACTTGTTTTTCAGTTTGGGACTTGCCTGATTTTTTTTCCTCATGACTAGATGGGGTGCAAAGACCACAAAGGGAAAGCATTATTTTATCATGTCATATCAAGGGAACATACTATTTACATGACTTATCACTGATGACAAAAAGCTTGATCCCAAGGTGAAGGCAGTATTTTTCAGTTTTATGTACTATAAAGATACTTTTTCCCCCTCTCTGTTTTCATAATGTATCTTTTTAAAATAAAGGTGCTGTTAAATTACTAAGAATTCTTCTGTATAGGAGACCAGCTATCTCCTCAACTTATTTATATAGTCATTTTGTATCAGCATGGACTCATGGCTATTTTACTTATTTCAATATTTTGGTTTATAATCCAAAACTGCATCACTTACTTTCTTTCTCAAATTGTTTTAGTTCTTGCTGTTGAGGACTCTTTCAGTTAGCCTTTGTGTCCCTTTGAAATATATCCCATTTCTTCGTGTGTGCTTGTGTGTGTGTTTGTGTGTGTGTTTAAGCACTCCTTAACTTGCTGCCACCATAAAATATTTCAGGTTTATTTTGTATACTTTGCCCAATACTAGAACCAGCCATTTCTACAAGGATTCCTGATTTCTTTTATTGAAGAATGTTAAAAACCAAGATCTGAAAATGAACATATTTGTTGTTATTGAGGTGTCATTGCTTCTACACCTTCTTAGAACACAAAAATATGTGTATTTATTTCTACATATATTTTTATTTATATACACATTGAACTTGTCAAACAATGGTCGGCACCAATTCAAGACCAGCAGGAGACCTCAGTATGGAATGAGGCAAAGAAGGCAACTTTATTAGTGCAAATAGCTCAGCAGTGATGCAGCACAGCTGTGGAAACAGCACAGCTGTGGAATAGCTCACTAGTGCTACAGGGTGACTGAGGAGCAGATCAGTAGTGCTACAGACTCTGTGGCTGGGGAAACAGCATGGCTGAGAGGCTAGCCTGGGGCCAGGACCCTCTTCAGCCAGGCAGCTCTCCTTTGCTCAGCAATGGCCTTTTCCACTCTGTTCCAGGTATGCATCTCGGTGCTTTAGCTAGCTGGGGAAATGTCCTCAGTCCTCAGTGGAAAGGGAAAACATGCACTTACTGAGTGGTTTCTATGTGCTGATAGCCATCAAGACATAAGGATCATTTCGAGCAATGATCACTGAGCCACTAGGCTCTAAGGTTTCTGTAATTAAGTTTCTGTAAATATCACATTGACACATTGCTATAAGTCGACCCACTCTTATCCAATTTAAAGTAAATAACCCTTGTTCACAATATACCCGCTAGATATTATTGATGCATTCATGCTACTCTGATAAGGCAAAGGATTTTAAACTCTTCAATTTTCCAACTCATGTTGTGAAGCAGAGGTTCTGTGGGCCACCCAGCAGCAGTTTGGTTCTGTTTGCACCTGATAAAGTGAGGAGATGGGGTATGTTATGGGTGTGTGTGTGTGTGTGTGTGTGTGTGTGTGTGGAGGGGGAATGCAGAAAGACATCATTAGAAGGTGAATAATATGGCATTAAATGGGATAAGCTTTTCTTAAATATAACAATCATTTATTGTTCTTTCATTCTTTGAGTATTTATTGAACCCTTAAGCCCTGTGCCAGGATTCTGTAAAAAGATTAGCTCTAATCCTGACAGGTAAGCATACAGTCCTGGGGAGCTCACATGAGGAGCATCTAACTAAGATCAAAGGAAGGGAAGTTTCTCTTGTGGAGGTAATACTTTAGACAAAGTTTAAGGGACAAGTGGAACATCAAAAAATAGAAATAAGTGTATTCTAGTAGAGAAACAACATTACGAATGGCAAGAGACAAGTGAGAATCTGACATATTTGGGGAGCAAATATTCTAAAGCAGACACCATCAGTATTCACATGGGATATGCAGACATACATAGTGTATAAATTCAGAATGTAAGTCTCATTATGAGAGTAATGTTAGGTGAAGAAAGAAATCACTATCTTCTTCTGGGTAATAATATCCCCTATTTTTGTTTGAAAAATGATCCTTTCTCTACTCTCATCAATGTGGTTGAGATAGCATTGACACATTGCTATTATATAAGTCGACCCACAGGAACCTGGTATCCCCTGGCCAATTGTACTTCTAGTAGTTCAGAGGGACCATGGCATAGAAGGTTAGCAGGGAAGACTGGGGAGTAATGAGGCTGAAGTGGTGAGTTGAGACCAGACCATGAATGATCTTGTAGACTGTGGTCACAAGTTTTGATGTCAGGTGAAGTCAGTTGGTAACTGTTGGATTTTAAATACAGAAGTGACATACTTCATCTGACCTCTTAGATAAAACTTTAAAGGTAGGTGATAGAAATGTAAGCAAGTAGTTCTCCCATTAAGACTGATGAAAATGTAAAAGACCTGAACTGAAACAGTGACAAGGGAGGAATAGAAGACAAAAAAAGAAAAAGAAAAAAGGCAGGGGTGTAGGGATGAATGAAGATTTGCAAGACATCAAGGTAGTGGAAGCCACAAAACTCATTAATGGATTATTAAATTTGAAAATTATGTTGAATATTTGAGTGGAGATAACTAGTCAACCTTTGTATATAAATATGTAGAATTAAGCCAAGAGAAATTTCAAAGATGTCAGGAAAGTTAATGTAACTGATGGCAGTGTGGAGGGTTATTTGTTTATAATAGATGCCATCGTATAAAGTCTCGGTCCTGCTAACAGAGTGCCCACATGAGCATTGTGTCAGTGATCTGAATAAATTATATGCCACAGAGGTGCCATCAAAAGAGCCTTTGGCCAAGATTCTGGCTTTTGGGATTTAATAACAATTAAAAGGAAAATTAAACTTTTTTTTAAACTTTTGCAAAGGTGTTTACCTTTTGAGACTTGGTTTCCTCAACTCAGAAATGTAGAAAGTGGTAAGCATTTGGCCTGCCAGTCAAATAAGAGTAATCTTCATTAATTTTATACCTTCTTTTATTGTAATAAAATACCTGCCAATATAGAAATTTGTGTGGAGAATGCACATGGCTAAATATTTTCAGTAGAAATGGGGGGTTAGAGAAGGGAGAGGTACATTAAGCTGTCCATAAATCCCCTGCAACTTCCATTTTGCCTCTTTATTCCAAACTCCTCAAATCTCGCTAAATATGGGTCACACATGGGTCTTAGGGTGAACTTAGCTCACATGTATGTTTTTCTTTTCTTTTCTTTCTTTTTTTTTTTAACCTGCAGAGTTGTTGTTGTATTTTTTATTAAAATGGTTGCATCACTGAAAAATCAGGTTTACATAAATTCTAGTATTCTAGTTTATTGACGAATCAGAACACCTGGGCCAGTGGTTCATGTCTTTTCTGTGGTAGTGAGCATTTGGAACTGAGTAAAGATTGCCCCCTTTAAAAGAGCATCTGCTCTTGGTTTCACCACGTTCCTACCGTTCCCTACTTCCTTACACATGGCTGGATACACTCAATCATTTTTCTGGCTCATCTTGGAGTTTTGGTTATGATCCTGGATTGCTCAACTCCCAAACAATGACTGAAAAAAAATGGAAGTAAAATATATCAATAGATTCAAAAGTAGGAAGAACGTATAAACTGAGTTGTATTTTCACAATTCCTCGTATCCTGCTTTCTTCAAAGCACTGATTTTTTTCTTACTTGCCTTAAAATGCATTTAAACATGGATAAAGGCACTTGCTATAAAATGTGGCACAGTTCAGTTTCATCTCTAGCCTCTGAAAACTTGAATCTGCTTTTAAGAAAAATACTACACATACTGTTACTGTGAAACTTTGTGTTTCCAACTCGCATTTATGGTGACATCTTTTCAGGGTGTGAAAACTGGAAAGTTTCATATTTTAATTTGCAAAATTATTTTAACTATTAGTGTAAACATGTGCTTAACTATTTGGATGCCAGGTTTTTAAAACTTTTACTTGATTTGTGACCAAATTTGCAATTATTCTGCAGTTACATCATTGCAAGTTATTGCCAATGGTCAGCACTTGACCTCTAGTACTTTTTTTTTTAAACTTAACTGCTCAGGTGACCACAGTTGCATTTTAGTTTATACATGACATTTCCTATCACCTTTTTAATGGATGAGTATTTATTTTTTTCAGTTTTGAGAACTGCTGCAAAATACTGAATTGCCCCAGTGGGGTTTGAAAAGTGGACAGTGAGAATAATTTCCAAGAGTGCTGTGACGATTGACCAAGAGGACACATTTAAAGTAGTAAGCTAATAAGACATGCATATTTTCTACTTTCCTACAATGAAGGGTGGAGATAATATGATAGTTACTGAGCACTGAGTACATGCCAGGCCTTATACCAAGACCTTTGTATGCCTTACCTTGCCTAATTCACAATATCATGAGGCGGCAACTAACCCTAGTTTTATGAAGAGGAGTTAAAATTCCAGGAATTGAAGCCTCTTGCCCAATATCATTCTGTCAGGATTAAAATCTAAACTCTTTGACCTGAAGAGCAGGGCTGTTTGCCATGTGGAAGTGACAGGCATAGAGGACAGGAGGGAAGGGAAAGCATAACCCTCTTAGACAAGTGAGCAGTAAATTAGCTTGACAATGTTGTCTAACTCTTTGCTACGTGACTACTATCTCTAGTTCAAAGAGCTATATTTGCCAGTCACTATAGTCAGCAGTGAATGCCTGTCCCTGTCCTGTATCGGCAGGCAGGGTCTACATGGCGCTTTCTTTGTCATGTTTATTGGTGAACATTGTTACCTGGCCACTCACACACGGTTCATTCCTAGAGAGCTATATGTTGAAAAGTTACCAAAACCTAAAATTTTTTTATGCTTCTGAGAAAGCTGAAACATTTCAATATGAAGCGTCATTTCAGTAAATTTGATCTATTATCCTCACATCTTCAAATTCTGCTGTTTAGGTAACTTGTGTTTTGCCATTAGAAGACTGCTGATGTTCTCTAGATAGCATTTCTGTCATTGCCATATGTTTTCCCAAACTTCAAGCTAATTTAATTTTGCTTTGGACTAAATAGGAGAATAACTTTATTTGGAGAAAATTCTAAAAGTCGGTGTGAAAAGCAATGCATATCCTTATTCATTATTATAGTAAAATGATTTTAAAATATAGGGCTTTATCATTTAATTGCAAAGCTCAGAGTTTTAGAATGACAGTGGCCTTGAACACAAGAGGCCCTTGGGTTTGGTCACAACTATTCCCTTAGGTATGAGTTTTACCAGTTGAGGATTTTTCTGAGTAGAGGATTCCCAGTAGAGAAGGGCAAACCAGTGTTCCTCTCTTGGGTTTGGTGTTTGTGGAAAATGTCCACTGCTAGAAGACACAGCTAGTGAAAAGGAAAACTCAACTGCTGTGAGTGGTGAGGGAGGGAAAGAAAGAAACTTAAATTCCAAAGAAGATGAGATGTAACAGTAAAGTTAAGAATGTTATCGTTGGGAGCTACCCACAAACTCTTTGGCTCCTATTTACAAGTCATTGCTCTCCCAGCCTCAACCACCAAAGCAAATCGGCATGCATTGTCACCTCACATTCTACACATTATGCTGTGCTCTGTCTTTACAAATTGTTTAATAATACCTCAGGAATATCTCTGGATCAGTAATTCCAGGATTTCACACATAGTTTCAAAGTGGACGAGAATAATGGAGTAAAGAAAGAAAAGATGAAGAGACTGTAGGTGTTCACTCCCACTGTAAAGAGGGGAGAAACATGAAAACTATGGGGGAAATCACATGTTTGTGACATTGACCATTAGTGTATTGCAGGGACAGATAGGAGTTAACATTTATTGAGCATCTTCTAGGTGTCAGGCAATATATGGAACAGCATACACACAGCACAAAACAGACTTGAACTCTGCCTTCAGGTAAGTATATTAGGAAAGAGAGAGAATGACCATGTAATTAAGTGTTTTGAGAGCTGCTGAAGGAAAGTACCATGTGAATATATACAGATTGGATTAACCTGTCTAGGCAGCCTGGGTAATGTCACTAAGAAAGGGCGTCACTAGTCAAAGTAATGGAGTTGTGAGGGAGAAAGGTAATAAGAAACATAAACACATAAAGGCACATTGTGAAGCAAGCTATAAAGAAATCGACAGAGACCATGACAGGAGGACATACTGATAAAGTGGTATGAGTAGGCTTTGCAGAAATGAGGTTTAAGTGGTATCAGAAGGATAAGAAGGAACTAGCTATGAAAGAGCAAGGAGTAAGGTGAATCGGGTAGGAAAGACAGGACATGAGAAGGCCTTGAGCAGGCATGCTCCCTGAGATATTTAAGGAACTGAAATGAGGCCAGAGTCCCTCAACACGGTGTGTCAGCAGAAGAGCAGCGTGAGACAGAGCTGGAAAGGAAGGCAGGGGCCAGATTTAGCAGGTCTGAGGGACTCTATGCTGTTTATAGGGGAAGTCATCGGGGAGATTTAACACATGGCTCAACAGCATGCTTAGAGACCTCGACATAGCTCTGGAAGAGGAGGAAATTGAGACCATGAAAAATTAAATAGGTTTCTAAATTTTTGCACGCAGTGAATGACAGCCAGCTTTTTAACCTGGATCTATTCAACTCCAAAGCTCGTGTTCATTGGGAAGGTCTCTGTGAGTGGATCACTCAGACTAGTGATTGACAAGGAATAGCCTTGAGAAAAACATGTTCAGAAAGAACTTTGGGATTTTTCACACTCCCTGCTCCATACACCAAAGTCCTGTGAATGGACACTCACCGTGTTTTAGAATCGACTGTACTCAGATCAGATGCTAAAGAGGAA